GAGTCCGAGCAAGCCTGAGAGAGAGATTGCTCCAGAGTCCGAGCAAGCCTGAGAGAGAGATTGCACCAGACTCCGAGCAAGCCTGAGAGAGAGATTCCACCAGAGTCTCAGCAAGCCCCACAAGTGACTGAGAAAGGTGGTGGGTTGGTTGGCTAACTAACTAACTACTAAATGAACTAACAACCAAACTATGGCCTCCCAGCCCATCCCCGGCTTATATACTGAGCAGGACATGCTATGGAATAAAACAGTCGTTTGGTTAGTTTGGGTTAGCTGTCTGAACTGTGTTTCCTCACACCCTCCCCACCCACCACCTTCCCTGCTGCTTGTAGTGAGAAAGTTTGGAACACAGGTGTAGTATTGGATGCTGAAAAAGTTCTTGATTTGGTGCAAACACTCCTCAACACCAACTAAAAAACACCAGTGTTACCAGTACTCTTTTCAGGCCAAATCCAAAACATAGCCTCATACCAGCTACTGTGAAGAAAATTAACTCAGTCCTGACTAAAACCAGCACAGTGATGATCACAAGAGACTTCAAAAAAAAACCCACCAAAACAAAACCCCAAAATAAACAAACAAAAAAATCCATACACCATCAAAAAACCCCACCTTCTCTGTTGACCTTGATTCTCAAAGTATTGGTTCCCACAAGATATTAATTTCTCACTATCTTATCTGATGAGCTAGTCAAGGTTGGGAACTGCTGCACTGTGAGGGTTATGTTTGAAGCTGATCTTGGTTCATGCCAATCAACATCAAAATGAACAAAACTTGCCACTGGGGGCAAGTTTCAGGGTGAGGAACTACCTCCTAACTGACTCTTCAGTCTTTGGTTTTGAAAGAGTTTTGGACATGCACGCTTTCCTTGCTGAGCAAATAGCTGCAAGCTCTTCTTGAAGTAGTTCAGCAACTTGCTTAAGGTAAAAAGGAATCACAGAAAAAGGGGGGAAATCGCACATCTCCAAAAACAGCACTCGTTCTACTTTCAAAAGGGGCAACCATATGACTTTTGACTAGAATGGAACATGAACCAGTGGCGAATATACTCGTATGAGAGAACTGGTGATTATAGGACCAAGAACCAAAGAAAAGCACATTTATTACCAGGCACCTAAAGCCTCAGGAACAGCTGCAGAGTTTGTTACAAACCCAGACAGATAGATAGTCAATTACACTCTCATAGTGACAGAGTAAATTGAACAAATAACGCTTAATCGATTTCAAGAGAATTTTGATTTTGAATGGTCATTGTTTCACTGTCAAGAAGCAACTTTATCAAATGATCAGGCAACAGGACACTAACATCAGTCTCCGTTTAAAGCACTTGCTCAGATCGGATACAACATCCAGAGTATGCTTTTCTCCTGTTAGGAGTCTTGGCTGCTGAGCTGCAACGTTTGAAGGCAAATATTAACTCACTGAAATTGCAACTGAGACCGAACACGCACCTTTATCCAGTCATGTTAGGAAGTCATGTTTCCTATAGGTAGTCTGTCTCATATCTTTAATAGATATGGATTTAGTTGTAATCGCAAAGGACTAGTGTGAGTTTATGCCAGGTAGAAGTTGTGCTGAACTGAACATCTAATTTGGTGATCTGAATGATGCTGGTTTTGAACTGAAATGCATTATGTGGATTTCGCCTGATGCCATTATTTTAATTCTGTGGTTTGTCCCCTGAATTCTACCACCTGATGTTGCGTGAGATCTTTAAAAAGAAATAAAATAAATCAAAGCCCATCATTCTTAATTTATAAGTGTGTGATCCTTGCTAGCTGGTTCCAGGAGTACTGATCTTAGCTTCCCAGCTGAAGAGACCATTGGGTCAAAACTGCAACATTCAGTGACAAAAATGTCATTTTGATTATCCCACCAGTTCATGTTGTCTGTCAAGGATGATTAGAATCCAAGCAGTTATGTCAAGTCAACAAGACACGATGAAGCCAAAGGGCTCCCAGCATGCCAGGCAGTTAAAAGCTTCTAAAAGCTTGTAACTTCTAATATTCTTGATTCTTCAGATGTGGAAACAACTTCTGTGCAACACACCGCTATGCAGAGACTCATACCTGCACCTACGACTATAAGAGTGCAGGGCGAAGGTATCTGCAGGAGACCAATCCCGTCGTTAGTGCACCAAAGCTTCCCAAAATCTAACATACCTGTGCTGCATGTGGCCGTTCCACCATTGAAGAACTGTACTACGTTGAGAGCAGGACTTGCTTAAACTGCATAATTTTGCCATGCTCCATATCTAAAGATTTACCAAGTAACAAAAGCACATGAGGATGCATCCTATCGAAGAATAATGTGAACACTACTGCAATTAAAACTTTTCTTCTTTAGTGAATGAAAAGTCAAAGATTAGTTTTTACAATTTAACTGTTACTGCACGTTGTGTCGTGTTTTATATTTGGAAAAGCTGTTTCACTAGACAAGTCTTGAAAAGATGCACTTTACTAACTTTATTTACTGTATAACCAGACTTGAGGGAGTGTTGTAATGAGGGTGTCATGTATTGTCTCCTGTACTCTTGCGTTTTTTGTCCATTGAGTGGTATCTTCTAAGTTATTTCACTAGAAAGATCCTCTTCCCTCCCCTTTATTCAAACAGCCTATTTTGAGATTTTTAAGGGGGTAGTGTGTTCTGCCTGTCTGTTCCTTTCAGATTGGCATTCATACACTGTATATAAATTCTGAAAATTACGTATGTTAATCACATTTTCTTAAAATAAGACTGTTTATATGGCAAGTTTGTTTTTAAATAGAAAATGCCCCCTTTATTGCCATTAAATATAAGGAACAACTTATTTTAACTTTTTTTGTAATCCTAGATTTTTTTAACACTTCACAACTTGGCTTGTTCAGATGTTGAATGCTGTTATGAGACACAATTCTAATAAATATTAAATTTTATTGTGGTTTATGCTCTTATAAATAGACAAAATAACTTCCTATCTTATGGCATGCTCCTAAATTAAAAGTTGTGGTTTGTTATAGGGGGCACGGGCATTTTTTTTTTTTTTTTTTCTTTCTAGAAGCACTGACTCATCTGTTCCTACTGAAGCTGGTGGGAAAATTCCCACCAACTTCATTAGGAATAGTGGGACCAACACTGTGTGCTTTAAATAAACCTCCTAAAGCCTTACAGATTATATTAACCTCCAGCTGCTGCTGTACAAAGGCAGTTCAGTACTTGCATGAGGCACCTCTAACGAGCACGCAGCTATGGCAGAAAGTGGTATTGGAGGTACAGACCTACTGAAAGCCTTTCCTCTTTTGTTCCCTTAATGTGTCTGAAATATTTTTATAAGCTTATTTTGCTTCTATAAGCAAATAATAAAAATTAAAAGCCTACAACAAACCACTAAAACTAAAGAAATGTTGCATCCGGACAATTGGATGTCATGGTCCTTTTCTTGCCAGAGGCCTCAGCTACTTGGTTGCTTGTGGTATTAAAATAATCTATGCTGCATTCCAGTCGAGCAGTAGCAACTGATGAGCATGGCAATCAAAAGTTGGGCAAATAAAAAGAAAGGGGATCACTGAAAGGAAGTAACTTGAAGAATTCTCATTCTTGGAGGAAATCTATGTCATGTAGTCCACCCGAAACTTCTTAAACCTTCTGGAGTTTTCAGAGAGTAATGACCTTGGAGTAAAATTTTCAAAATCATTCTTCTGGGCAGTGGTAAGGTAAAATGGTGGTTCTCTGTGTTTGTGACCTCTAGGTTTATTTATTCTTACTGGACAAAGTTGCACCTAGTATGAAGAACACATTGTTACTGAACAGTGTTAGGTACCATGAATATGCCTGTGGGTTTTTTTTTTTCATCTCCAGCATGTGACAGTATTTGATTGAAGGAAAAGAATAAGGAACAGGGCAAATATACTAGTGTTTTCCCAGCAATTACTTAAGTAAGTAATTGTTTTCTCAGCAACTTTTTAAGAGACAGAGGTATTGGTCTTTTTGTAGGTGCAGTGGAGAGTTGGTAGGAAGTGGAATTAAAATAATATCAGCTGTCATCACTTAATCTGATTTTGCATAAATATAATTGGCACGAAGTTAGTTTGCAGTGCATTAGAATGACCATACTCAAATTTTAGTAAGACTATGTAACATATGTGGGGCAGGAAGTCTCTGAGTCAAATCTTGATTGTGACTCTCTACATATGCATAATGAAGTGCACAACTGTACTTTTCAGAAAATGCAATGTAGTGATAATTTCATTTTCACATGTGTAGCTTTTCCGAATTTTTACTATACCTCATTTTGATTATACCTAATACGGATATTTCTTATGCAGAATTCTCATGATTTTGTTCTCCCCTACAATACTGTGTAATCGGCACTGTTATTTTCAACCAGTAGTACAGCCCTAAGAGCACTTAAATTTGTAATTAACTGTTTTAGTTGCCAATTTATATGCTATCGGGTTTTACCAAATCCTGTGTTAGACTGTGCTATGGGTTAATTACTGTTTACTGTGTAAACTTACCTAAATGTTTTGTTTTTCTGAGTATTAGTCAGTGTGCTGTGGTGCTATGCATCTGCTGTAGTCAAATGTTTAGCTTTTGTGTATTTGTTCATGTAATTAGATTGTATCATAAAGCATTTACATAACAGAAGTTTAACAGTTACTTTGGTGTGTGCTTCTCTATCTTTCTGTCAAATGTTTTTTGCATGCTGCTTTAATCCTTGAGGACCTGTGAGGCATAACCAGGCTGGTCACTTAGTGAATGACCTCCAGGATTCTTGTGTCAAATTGATAAGCACTGCAGAGGTGTCAGAAATGCTCATGGATCTTGAACGAAATATTTCCTTTCTCTGAATCTTTAGAAGGTTATGGTGATAAAAATCTGTCTGCTTGAAATTCCCATCTATTCAGTCCCCTGGGAGGTAATTCCACTGCTGCCTACTGCTTAACAGTCTTCAGTTGTAGATGAGGCTAGATAGAGTTATTGATCCTTTAAAAATGAAGTTTTTCTAGCTCTTTTACATATCATGAATTAGACACTTTAGTTTCTTTTCAAGCACTTCTAACTTTCATAATGGGGCACCATCTCCTGGGTGTAAATTGTGGAGTTGTTTGTGCCTGAAAGGAGTTGCTTCCACCTGCAGCTTTTGGTGTTGGATCATATTTTTTCCCAATTTTTATGTAAATCAGGTTCATCTTGAAATGGATTAGACACCTCCTCTGGTATCTGTCAGCACTGAGCTACAGTTGTTCACGTGAGGACGTTCCCGTAACTGGGAAAGCTATGTGAAGCTATGGGACAGTAGCCTGCGCTTCTTCTGATTACTGTCGTTCTTACCCTGATTTTAGGTTGGGGTGGTCTTGCTATGTTTGCAAGGGATGGAGTGTTGGGTGGAAAACAATAAAAAAAGGCAATTTCCTTCCCGTACTTACTGTCCTGTTTAAAGATTATTGTCTAAAATCAGATGGTGTGCTCAATGGAAAGGTGATGAACTTGAGCCTTTTCTTGTGAAGCAGGTGTGTTCAGAGACATTGAGTGATAATACGTGGGTTTAATGTGCAGAATTGTAATTATTCACTTTCTCAGTAGACGTTTGCTAAAGTGGTCTCCTGTTCTCATTAGCTGGTTTCAATTCCTAGTTTATATTTGATGTTTCTAAGGTTACTTACATGGACCAATCAAAGTTACAAGATTATCTGTGCCCAGGTAAAGGGACATTGCTTCTCACAATGTTTTTTCCCTAAACACACTAAGCAAATATACAAATCTGAGGTTTTGCAAGAAAAACGGTTTAACTAATCATAAGTGTTCTTCTACTCCTTTTAACTGAAAAGAGTCATTGCCTGAAAAGATGAGGGTTGTGTTTCAACCGTGGCATGTTATGCAGAGGCCACAAGATGTCAGTGGAGACCCCAGTCTGAGAGATTTGGGATAAACCAGTCAGACTACAAAATGGGGACAGAACTATGTATTTCTAATGATGCTTAGGCTATTGCTGGTTTTGACCTATTTTATATTCCCAGTCTGTCTTTATTTCCTGATCAGTGAAACGTGTATTCCTTTATTTATCAGCTAGCCTTCTTAGGCAGGATTGGTCTTGTCCTCCCTCAGTGCTTTGTTTACAGTAGGGTGCATGCTTGCCTTTTTCACTTGAAGGAAATCTACCACTCCCTTTTTGTTAGATTTTACAGCCATGAGTTAGAGAAGGGGTCCTCTGCTTTGCCTCTTTAGACCTCCTGAGATCCTATAGGATTTTTCCTGATGAATCCTCCCATCTGATACGGGTTTCACTAAGTGTGTAGTTAAAGAACAAGTTGTACTTCAAAGCCTTTCTAGTCTTTCAAGAGTGATGTGCCAGATTTTCTGTATTTTTCTCTCTCCAACCATATGCAGATTGACTCCTTGAGCCAAGTTCTTTCCCGCAGTTAACTTAATTGCATGAATAAAAAACGCAGTTATATAACCAGTTTCTCTGGGGACCACTAGCTAAATCTATTAGATTGAAAGGCAATTTTTTTGAAGTCACCAAATATGTCAAAACAAAGGTGCTGTTTAAGAAAACTGGAAAATGCAATGTGTGTCTTGCTTTGCCTGTGTGTGAAAACCTGTCTGTAGCTTAGGTTCTGCTTATTTCAGCCGTTCCTTCTCCCTACCACACACACTTACACATGTATTTACACACACATTCAGTGACTGGGAGACTGCATTTTCAGCTCGTTAGTGTGTCAGTTTTGGTTTCCTTCATTTTTTATCAGTCAGACCATGAATAAGCCAGTATGTTTGTGTTTCTTGTCAATGCAACCATGTAATTTTTTGCCTGTTTTATGGCCACTGTGTGCCTATTTCTTGGAAAGTATTTTAGTTCAGGTCATTATTTTGCTTTTCCCATTAACAGTTCTTTAGAAAAAAAGAGAAAAAAATCCTTGTGTAGGCAGCAATTTAATAACATATCTACAGAAATTTGCATAAAAGAGGAAGACAGCTATTTCCTAACGTACTTTTAAGTCTTTGGTGCAGTGTATTGGTACTCTGGTTAATTTGAAACAATTTCAAATATAAGGGAGGTTTTGTTTGTTTTTGCAGTATCTTACTGGAATGAGGCTTGCCTAGTAATTAGATCTTTTTCAGGAATTAAGCATCAGTCTGCAAAGTAATTGCATCTAGAAGAGTGGTCCGTGAGTTTGTGCGTAACTCTTACCTAAGGACTTTGTGGTAGCGACCTTGCTGAGCTGCTAGCTTTCTGCGTGCTTTTAGTTTTCTGCGTGCAGCTGCGGAGAGGGGACACCAGGAGGCAGCGGAGGCATTTGAATGGCAAAAGCTTTGCTTTAGTCCAATTATGAGATTTACAACGAAACCGTGGCTAAGGAAAACTGTCATTATTTCTTTGACGCTTATTCAGCCCACTCTAGACAGATCTGAGGAGGTCAGCAGTAGGGTACATTCCTTCTCTTTTCCTAATTCCAAAGTTTTTCAAAAAAACTGAAAAGAATGTAAGAGCGTCTCAAAAACATGAGTGTATGCTGGTTTTTCTCATCTAAACTATTAGGAAATCTTAATGTATTGCAGAATAGAGAGCCCTCCTCTATTCCTCTCCATTAACCCTGCAAATATACATTTCAGAGGTGTCTGCTGGATAAA